TAGACGGAATCCGGTCGAGTTTCGTCGATCTGAGGCTTTCCGGGCCCGCCGCAGAAGAGGTTAAGGAGTGACTTCAAGAAACCCATTTTTGCGTCTTCAAGAGCAAATACAGTATTATAAGGGAAAGAGAAAAGAAGTAAGTAGTGTAAGTTGATGAATGGATGTTCGGTTCGAAAACGATCGGTTCAGTTGGGTAGGTACCTTATATAGGTTGCGCGACCTCGAGGTCTCCTGCAGGCAGCGCTGAGGATTTGACGTCTTCCAATGTCGTGCTGCGGGGGGTTGCGCTGTCGGTGGCCGGAGGGGAGGAAGGAGGTGCGGATTGTGGCGGGACAACACGTGCGAAACCGTAAGGAACAACGTACATCCGCTCCGACAAGGACTGGATTTTGAGGCCTATACAAGCCTCGGGATCCAGTGCTACGCATCTTGTTTGGATACTTATTGCTATATTCTGACATGTTAAGGCTTCGTTTCGAAGGTTGGTAGCCTCCCCAATCCAGACCCGAGGCACGTGAGGCCTGGCCTTCGCGTTTGCGCAGCTCTTCGTCGCTCCTAAAGCTGCTCCTCTAACCGTTGTTGCCGAGAAAAGACGTCTTAAGGCCGTTCGTCATTGCGGCCAAGTCATATTTTTCACGGTGACAGCATGGTTACGGTTTAGCAGTCAGCCTCGTGGACGGACTACACGAGACAGACGTAGTACAAGAGATGACCCGTAGACGATGATTGCCGGTCTAGAATATGCCGTGGCACTAAGCTAAGTTGTTTGCTAGAGTGACTAGACGATAGACGCGAGGGGACGGGCTACTTGCTTCACAGAACGACTCGGAGCTGAGAGCGAAAAAAATCGCCCTCTGTACGTGTTCAGCAACCTATGGATACCCTTTATCATTCTTTCAACCAAGCAATCAACCTTTTAACCCACAATTTTCAGGAATAGCTCGGCAGTTGTAGGACAAACTTCGAAGAAAACGAAGATTTTCAACCTCGGGGCAATGACCGCATTTGGGTATGTGAATGAATCCCCGCTGTGGCTGGAATCGAGCAACCCGGAAAACCCAGACAAGAAATGCCCTTCGGGTGATTGTAAATACAATCTCCATTTGCCTGAATATCTCCGTGTGTGGCGTGAGTGAGAATTTGCGACAGTTGATCAAGCCGAGTTCCGGTCAACCAGGGCCAACCTTAATATTATCGAAGGACCGAAACTTGCCTTATTGGCACTGATAAGATAGATACAAGCTTGACTGCTCTCCCTGGCATTATGTACCCCATCTCGTTAGGGAGCCCGCGGGGTTCGGCTTGTGGACACTGAAGCACATGGGATTGCGTGCTTTCGGACGATGAGAAGTTTGCGATTGGCCTGAGCGCGTTCCAAATGTCCGAAGGGCCTTGTCCCGGATCAGACTAAGGTGTCCAAGTTGACCCTACCACTTGTACCCACCACCTGACACTCTCAGATCCTCCACGGAGACGCCTTTCACTGCCTCGGACCGAGTATAAAAGATCCACGCTCACCGCGACCCACAGAAGAGAAAACTCCTCGGTCCCAGTTCAGTCCTCATTAGAAATTTCAATCCCACCCGGGCCCAAAGCACCAACCAGGACGCGACCTCGTCCGTAAAGCTCCACCGCCGCCGTCACCGACCCATCCTGTAACGCTCAAAGCACATTCGTTGAACAAAGGTTCTATCATGCAGCCACAAATGCAGGCGCTCTCCGTCCAGTCGTACAACAACGACAGTCCACCCTTCACAGGCTCGACCGACCTCGGCAGCAACGACCTTATCCCGCCGTTCGAACTAGAAGCTGGCGACGACCAATACCTTCCTCCTACTACAGTCTCTCGCTTGGCAGCTGTGCCTCGTAATGGCGCGGTGCTAAGGCCGATTCCCGTGCTCTCTCGCGCGACATCGCATGCAGGGACTTCCACACCCATCCCCGGGCGCTATCCAACTTCGGGCAACGACGACAAAGTGTCACCCCCGACAGTTCCAGAGCCCTTGAGGCCCATGTCCGAGTATACGGACTTGGACCGCCCGTCCAGGATCGCCTCCCCTATTAACCTCACTCATGACGGCTCTCAGTACAACTTCCCCCGTCACCGTCTGGCAACTCAGATGCAAGGTACGTTATCCGCAGTCTCACGGCCCGGCGGTTACGGATCGAATAGCTTATTTGCTTCACGCCTCTCTGTTTCAGACGAATCCAAGATTCCGCTCGTCATCGGTCAGTTTCGGAAAAGTGCCCGAACTCCACGGCTCCTGACTCCATGATATTCTTCCACCAGTTGCATGCGGTTCCTTCTCTCCCCCGACGTACCTCCACCTGTAGGTCTTGGCTTCTGATTCGGCGCGCATCCGGTCGGTGTGAGAGTGGGGGCTTATTCTTTCCGGTTTCCCCAAAGCCGTATGTTTGAAATGGCCAAAGATGCCGTCGACGCCGAGGAGAAGTACGAAATCCTAGGTGGATACTATTCTCCTGTGTAAGGCGACTTGATTTGTCACGCGAGAGTCTGTTATCTTATTCACGTTCTTCTTCGCGCAGCTCGGATACTTACAAGAAGTCGGGACTGGCTCCCGCCATTCACCGCGTTCGCATGTGCGAGCTCGCAGTGGACCAAACGTCATCCTGGCTCATGGTCGATCCCTGGGAGGCTTCTCAACCTGATTACACACGGACTGCGCTGGTTTTGGAGCACTTTGACGAGCATCTGAATGGGTCCGGTGGGATTGCCCTTCAAGATGGTGAGCATTGAGCTACCTCCCGACTCAAGAATTCAACTAAACACCCTTATGACGCAGGATCAAAGAAGAGGATCAAGATCGTTCTCCTTGCAGGCGGTGATTTGATCGAATCCTTTGGCGAGCCCGGCGTTTGGTCAGAGCCTGATGTAGGTGGAGAGATGATAGGTGCAGCACAAGCCAGAGCTCACAACTCTCTACGCGTAGCTTCATATCATCCTTGGTCGCTTCGGTTGCCTGATTATTGAGCGGACCGGTGCAGACGTGTGGGCGTTCTTGTTATCGCATGACATATTGTATCAGCACAGGTTCGTAGGCTCTTATGGCACGAGCAAAGGGTATTCAACTCACACCTATGCGTTAATGGTCGACAGGAAAAATGTCATCGTGGTCAAGCAGTTGATTTACAACGACATTTCATCCACCAAAGTCCGGCTCTTCGTCAAGCGCGGCATGAGTATCAAGTACGTGAAAGAATATTATACTTCTATGTGAACCCTTATTTAAGATCCGTCTCCTCTTACCAGGTTCCTCTTGCCCAACTCTGTGATCCAATACATCTACGACCACAAGCTCTATGCTAATCCCAAGATCACCGAACCTCCGCTGAAAAGCGTTTGAACCTTTTGTGGATACCCTTTCCAACAATCAAGTTACTTCGAACTATGCTATCAAGACTGAACCTGAGCTGCCGGATTATGGACCTGTTTTGTCTTTCGCTGGATCGCTGTTATGCATGACGCTCCTAATCGGTGGTGCCATCCGGATAACGTTGTTGTATTTCTGATTCCCGCTAGATGTCACCTGTATTCAAACTAGTATAGAGTAAGAACGGCACACTTTTTCGTGTTAGATCTAGCGTGTGTGCAAGCGACGGCGACCACCCCAGAGTGAGTATGCAATATCAAGAGAAATATGAGAAAGCCCTGACCGCAGGTATCTTGAATCAAGCTCCGAGGCTTTGTAATGCTATGCATGTTGCAAGTTTACAGCAACGGGATTGCATATCATCCAGCGTGTTTTAGCCGAGGCTGCAACATTCTTTCTTCCCATGATGGCCGTCACATCAGAAAATAATACAGATCAGAACTCCTTGCTCTCGATGCTCAATAATATCGCATTGAAGCTAGTATAACATAGTTAGTAGAAAGATAAAAGCAATCTAAAGACATAGTGGCTAAGCCCTGGGACCTCGGCTTCAGATATCTGGAAAAAAGTGTGTAACGGGCTCGAACCCATGACTTGCAAACCCGACATGAAAAAGCCCGATTAAGATCTGACGAGTAATCAAACACTTGGAAGGCGAGCAGACGTTTTGATAAAAGTGCATGGGTGTTGGGCAACTGTAATTGGCTGCCAGTGAGTACCAGACGTCCTGGCCGGTTGACGCAGTTGGTTAGCGTGTGGAGCTAATACGTGATCACGTAATCACTCCAAAGTCATGGGTTCGAGCCCCATACGGGCCATTAATTTTGCAGGTCATGGGTTCGAGCTCCTCCCATTTTTTCGTTTCGGTTCTCTTAGTCCAAGGGCTTGGCATCCCAGACTGTGTCTTCAGGTCGGCTCGATCCACGTTATATCAAGCGCCTGCTCACCCTTTAACTCGATTTTGATATGATTTTAATCTTTAATTCTCAACCCCCTTTTGACTCTTTTCATGTCGTGGTTTGTGCAGCTCGTCCTTTCCGAAGAGTGCCAAGCGTTATTTATTTCACTCGAT